GGCATTCAGTTTCGTCTCAAGTGCTATCAAACGAAAATGCTCGAGCGTATTGCTCAGCTTCTATCAACGTTAAAGACATCAGCAGTCTATACCAACTAGTTCTCTTTACTGAGCGATAAGATCGGAATGATCTGGTGACTTTCTTCCGCTCTAACAGGGTGCCGAACAGATGCGGCGATGTCGAGCAAGATGTTCTATCACTGCTGGGATCGAGGGATTTGCCCGAAACTTAAACTCAACTGCCGGACCTATAAAGAAATTGACGTATTACTCAGCCTTGACATCAAAGTGATTTGGTACCGTGAACTACTTCAACTTTTACTGATTAAGAAGAAGGCTAAACAACTAGTAGCATCGATTTTGGAAGGCTTACTTACTAAATACCTATGACACAAGTAATGCGTCATGATTGCGGGAAACTTGATCATTTCGAAGTGAAATTTCCCAGCAATCAGAGCGAGGGAACTTGCCACAGACCGAGAGTTTTTCTTATTTGCTCAGCGATCACTTATGGACTTTAATAGCGCGTCTTACGAACTGTCCAGGAGAAAGCAACAGATTGCTCCATCTCCTAACCGCTGAGACCAACTACGTCCACTCTACTCCCCATTAAAGATCTGTCACGCAGTGGCCATGGAACATAATTCAGAGCACGCCATTCAGGTACTCCATCTTTCCCACATAGGGCTTCCCAGGAACTTCGATTAACAAAAGTATTCCTGAGAAACGATTGATGTCCTTGAGTAATCTCATACTTTTAGCAACTTTTAGCGTGCTTGTACACCTCCATACAGTCACGAATTAGCCAATTAGAACCAGCAATTTAGCCTACCCGTAGGGAAGTACGCTTCAATATAAAGAACATTTCAATGTGGCCCAGCTATTGATTACACATTTGGTTCCCATCACCTGAAAGCCGTAGATTGATGATGGGCATTTCCTAAAGAAATTGGTACACGTGAACGTAATGAGATGGTCTACTTGATTGACAGACTTCAGGTCTGATTCCGTTGAACCGCTTCACCTACCAGCATACCCTTTATCAAGACATCATTTTAAAAAAAACTGACGAACCACAGCTGTCTCAGCTTGAATGAGATTGGATTACAATCCGTACATGTTCGAGATGTGTCTATAGGGAGACCACAATGATTCCCTTTCCCCTCGAAGAAAAAATACGGCCTCGTCGCTCATCGAACTTTAAACAAGAATGAACCTTAAAATAACGAATTCAGAATGACAAAAAGGGAGGGGCTGTATACCTCCATTCCTGGACACGTAAATGGGGCCCTCCCTGCTGGTATCACTCATTCGCCACCATCAACAATGCAGAGGCAGATGGATTTGTACCGAGTATAGACGGGAAAGTTGAATGATCAACTTACTAGTTGACTTTGTGCGCTAGCAAGGTCTGCAGTAGTACGAATCCTTCCATTTGCCGATGCAATCTCCTCCGCTCTGCACAAGGTCGCACTTGAAAGTTCTATCAGATCTGGGCTCATAGGGGAGGAAAAAAGGGGAATGGAGAGGACAGGTTGAAGATCGGTATGATCATCTCCTGACTATTCATCAGCCCAAAATATCCTCCTGATGTTAATCCTGTCACTCGAGGAAGCCAATATCATTCAAATTATAAAAATGATTTCTATGATAGGATCTAGGGGCTAAGCCAATCCCAAATCCCCAACTTGAATGCATTGCCAGCAACTGCACATTTTTATCCCATTCCCTGCAGCATACTGGCATAGTGCACCTCAACTCCTACTTTTCTTAGGTTTTTTTTTGAGAATCCTATTCTTATTCATGCTGATATGACAAAAAGTTTATAATGTCCTCTTCTGGCAAGGTTATAAGGCTTAGATGTAAGTAGTAGTATCGAATTATTAACAAAAAAAAACTGCAATTCAGTGCTTAAAAAGGAGTCCTCCCTCATGAACAAAACGTCATACCCGTCCGGTACCAATCGAGCCTCAGTTCCAGTCTTTGAGCCCTTGATCAGTTAATCGACAGCAGGTAGGAGATCAGACTGACAAAGAAAAGGATAAAGGATAAGGTCTCTGTGCGCTGATCAATCCTATCTGAGGGATGACCCCTGTATTCGACTCCCATTCAGAATTGTAGTGGCGTATTGAATCCGTATGTGGCCTATACAATGGCCAGCTGCCCGGAGACTGACAAATAAAGAGGGAATTTCCCGTAAATTACGAAATGGCAGGGTCACTTCTACATCTGCGTACTCGACTCCCACATGCTGAAAAGTTATGAGGCTTTTTGAAGACTTCCAGTCTGAGAATTTCTGTCACTTCCAAAATCCAAAATATATCATCAGAGTTGGGATTGGATGTATAGAATGTGGCCAAACGAGATAAATAAAAATTACCCTGAATCACATTTTTAAACCACCAGGTGTTCCATTTAAACCATTACCTATTTTTCAATAATCTTGCGTGATTCCTTTCTTTGCATCGCCTAGGTAACGCGGAAACATCATAACAGGTGGCAGTGGCTACAGAGTCGAAGTCAGAACTGGGGCTGGATTTTTTGTATAAAACAATTGAGTTTTACTCTTTGAACTCAGACTTCTTTCGATAAGTACCAAGAGAACCACCTTAAACAAGCATTTCTACCCTACCCAGATTCGGCACTTAATTGGTGGTTGCGAATCTCGCTTCACTGATAATCCCAGCTTTTGAAGGATTGCGAATCAATGTTTGGGGAACATGGCGTTTGCCCAAGGTGAAGCATAGAGTAAAGGATGAACACCTTATAGGAAGCAGCACGTTGTAGAAGGGGTAGGCAGGTAACTAGGGAGATCACAGGTCGTTGAGAAAGTGGGCAGCTACGATCTAGCGCTATAGAGCGAAGGATTGGGTGTTGTCCAGTGGCTCACGGGAATCGAATCTTCCGAAACCAGTCAAGCCTTCCATCCTTCCAGAATCGCTTAACTGGTACCAGATCCGTTTAGGAGGGTAGAAGCGCTGTTTTGTTTATCGGCCGTCCACCACAAGTCATTGTATAGCCCTTATAAGCATTCAAAACGCCACTACGATTCTGAATGGAATTCGAATGAATTGGACGAGGGCGAGAGTGACCGATCGCGAAGAAAAATAGCCTTTTAGGGTTTTTGAGCACTGTGCTTGTTACGTCCTACGCAGAAGAAAACTCCTGGCCCTGAGATTCCCTCTCTCCTTTAAACGCACAGTTCACGATAATTTTGATGCACCCTATTTGAATTGGAAAGCGGAAATGATGATGTAGAGTAGTGCATTAGTGGCGAAGAGAGCGAGACAATCTGCTTATTACGCGAAGAATAAGGCATTTCAGTGGTGAAAATGGAGGTTGTACGAGATTGCCAAGAGCGGAAGGGCATGTATGCAGTATTCGGACGAGATTTCATTTGTTGCAACTGCGCAGAGAGTTGATTATATCTATCCAAAATTGTTTAGGAATGCCTTCCTCTGTGGCCATAGCCTATGGCAAGTGGTTTAACCTCTGACATGGGAGTCCTTTGAGATGGTGTAGCCCCTACAATGCTGTTGAAACTCGCCCATTGTAAGTGTGGCATTCACACGATACAGCCTCTGGCCCCTTATTGTGCCCTATCCATGACGTTTTTCGACTTTATAACGGCAGGTACGGTATAAGGCGGCGCCTCGTATCCATACTATAGAGAGATCTCGGGAACAATTTTTACCGTGAACTGTGCCTTCAAGTTATGCCTTATCGTCCTTTACACGCAAGATGTAATTAGCCAGTAGCCGTTGAAAAGAAGAATATCCTAAACACCTAAAAATAGGTAATATCCTCGAATTAGGCGTGACGTCAAGGAATGGGAATTCACTAGTCTATTTTACGCCTTTTGAAATTGACTACAGAACAAGGACGTCATCACACGTCTTCTCAACAGACTCATCTTGCTTTTTTTGACGTAGGCGTACTAATGACGAACCCCATTCTCATCTTAACCAAACCATATTATCGTACCCATTGCCTTTAAAAGAGTGATGTGACGATGTGTAAAGCCCAGCCGATAATGAAGGCGGAAATCCCAATAACCGCTCCCGGAAATGGAGGTTCGAAGTACGATTCTTTACAACTGCAAACCTTCCAGGAGGTGGTACCGGGTACTATCGAAGGAAGGAAAAAGGATAAAGGATAAAGGTTTTGGTGTTAGTCAATCCCGTCTGAGGGATGCGCCCCCGCACTCGACTTCCATTCAAATCGTAGTGGCGTAATGAGTGCGTATGTGGCCAATACAATGATTTGTGGTGGCCAGCCCATGTGCAAGTCAGTGCTTTTTTTCCTCCCAGAGGAGTCTGGTACCAATTCACTGACCCCGGAGGGATGGAAGGCTCGGTTGGCCCAAGCAGGCATCGATCCGGGATTCGATGCCCCTGACCGTCCGTGTGATATAGTGTGCCACTTGCCACTACACCACCTCCTATCGAAGGAAGGAAGGATTTCCAACATCTGATGTTATTTGCAAGGTTGCTTCCCCTGAGCGCTGGAGGGGTCTAATCTCGACCGTCACCGACGGACTGAGCCAAAAATCGCCCGAGTGTTGATTCGGTTTCGCATTACTTTCATCACCAAGAAGTGAAGGTTCAAAAGATAAAATTGGATTTATTAGAAGAACTTTCACTGAAGCTGAAGCTCGAAACTTAGAGAACCAAACTCATGACTGGATTTGTCAAAATTAAAATCTAATAACAATCACTTTTTCAAGAATAACTCTCATCCGAACTTAAACATATGTTATAAACAACCATCAAAAACCACGCAAAAACAACATGTAAACTAAAAAAATCGAAGCTAATCCTACTCCTAGTCAGTCAAAGAATGAGGTAATAGCTATGAGGGTACCGGATTCACCTGGCGAACAGTGATGTTCACTCGACTGGTGTTCGCGAACTGCTGCAGTAGAGGATCGTTGAAGGTGAATTGTTGGTGTTGATGAATAGCCGCTACAGCATGGTAGACAAGCCGTTGGGAGCCATACATCACCAAAATATCTCCAGAACGGAGCCATAGTGGAATGACTTCGTCGTCAAGCGTATTACCTCCCGTCAGATAGATTGCTGATTGACCAAGTGAGAACGAGACCAATGGAGCTGATGTTCGTTCCGACCTGAACCGACCGAATAAAAACCAGGTCACAGATATAGGCATACGGTAATCGGTTTCCACTACAACCTTCCAATACTTCATTACGCACTCATTTTCTCCAGCACGTCTTGAAACCCCTATCAAGAAGGCTGGCATTGAATTTTCAAGGTTGGCGGTACTCCCCCGAACAGCCTGAGCAGCAGTGGTTCCACACGGCAACCGTAATCTTCCACTAAGAATCCAAACCTCCCCTTCATAGCGCGACTGCGCGGGTCTTACCGCTATGAAGGCGATGCGGCGGGCGCGACGCAGTTTCCGGGTAAAAGTTACCACACCCATTTTTCAGGGTCTAACCCAACCTCAACAACTCCTGCTCAATCCTTTTTTTTCATTAAATTTGATTTGAATACTAATTAAATTGCTCCTTCACTCACTAAAAAAATTTTGGAAACCATTAAAAACACGAGTAAAAACATTTGGCATTGATGTCGATGACTATTTTCTCAAAGTCAAAGAAACTTCTAGCTAACCAAGAAAGAAAAATATGAAGATCAGGTTCCGAACCCATTTCGCTTCCAGAGAAGGCACCAAAGGGTTTCGCTTCAAAGTTACAACTTTTTTTAAAACCAAACTAGTAGATTTAGGAAATTTTCCTCTATGACCAAAACTTGCTTCCTCACCTAACACCACTTATCAAAACGTTCGAGCATCATCTGCCCATGATTGCACAATAGGCAAGGAACAATTTTGCAGAAGCTGAGATGCTTTCTGGAATGTTCTGGAAATTTCAATGGAATTGCTATATAAGTATATTACCTAGTTATAAGCGCATAACATATCTGACACCCTCTTCCTCGCTCGTATAGCACTACAGGGGCCAAAGTATTTCTCCAAATGTTATATGTACTTCTTTCCGATTTCGGATGTGGCCAACCCGCTACTGAATACTATCAAACTTGTGCGAAGGCTTATCATGAAGTCCCTTTCAATTGCCTCTGGGCGTGCCTCGTTGCAACGCTTCAATGCAGGAAGAAAGATGGTTTAAGACGATATTCCCGGATATGATATGTGCATACAAGTAAGTGTTCATTTCTAGAATTCTCATGGAAACTTCCGGAACACTTTAAAAAAATCTGGATTTGGAGATGTTTTTGACATCTGCTTAGCGAACATCCTGAAAATTTCATCGACAAATCTTTCCACGAAAAATTACAAGCTACCTATGGGATGCTGATGGACTGTAGCGACTGCTTTCGCGTAAGATAACACTATTTTCCGGGCGCGCTAGGTCATGCCGCAACCATCGCATGCGGCGGGTTAGCCCGCGATCTTTGACAAACGTCGCAGTTGTCAGCGTGGCATACGAATTGCGCTCGGTCCACGACAGTAAACCAAAGAGAAGATAACACGGACAAATGCAAATCATTCGCTCCGCCGATACTTGGTGGTACTGTAGTGTCGTCTCGAGACCTCAGTGGGGTGCGACGCGCGCGAAGTGGGCGGGGTGACCTACTTTCGACGGACGCGCGCAACGGACGTTCTCCTTATTTTTCACATCCAATACTTACAGCGACTTACCTATCCACATGAGGCGAAAGTGTAGACTTTGGCGGGTAGTAGTTCACTATGGTCGCATCTGCATGCATAGGTCCCAGACCAAGATATCGCGTCACAACCTGCAATGAGTAGTGGAGTATAAACTGTGATAAAACTGCCAGGTTGACTCAATTGTTTACGAATCCGTCACGAGTTTGCTTTTAAAAAAAACGAATAAATCAAAAGGTCACATCTGCAAACTGGACGAGCTCTTTTGGGAGGGGGTCTCCAGTCAATGGATACTCTTTAGTGTCCCAATTGTAGGCGATTCCTAACGTTGTCCATCTAAGCGATTTACCAGCTAATCGAAGAACATCACTGAAATGCTTANTGGAATGAGTAGTGGAGTATAAACTGTGATAAAACTGCTAAGTTGACTCAATTATTTACGTATCCGTCACGACTGCTTTTAAAAAAACGAATAAATAAAAAGGTCACATCTGCAAACTGGACGAGCTCTTTTGGGAGAGGGTCTCCAGTCAACGGATACTCTTTAGTGTCCCAGTTGTAGGCGATTCCTAACGTTGTCCATCTAAGCGATTTACCAGCTAATCGAAGAACATCACTGAAATGCTTACGATACGGTAATTTTTCTGATAAGAATTAGCTCCGATAAGAAGCTTTCTAACAGCATTATGCTCTACCTCTTTGGACTGGTACCATGAGCCGTAAGATTGGTGATGTTAGGAGGTTCTGCATACTTAAACACTCGGTGAAGCCACATTTCGACAGCGTCAGCCCTGAATGATTACATAAATTAACAATGAAACTGATGCGTGAAGCTTTAAATTTTAATTAGCTTTGTTTCATGAATCGAGTACTCGCACTCATTCGACTTCCACGCACAACCTCAATAACATTTGAAGGCCTATTTTACCTATACACTGACTAAGATATCTGCCTACAGCCTACAACCTGAGCATTGATCATCTTAAGGGGAACTGGTGCTACTTAACCAGCAGGGAACTTCCTGGGAGTTTAAGTTCCCATCTCGTTCACATACAGTATGCGAAGAAATTAAGAGCTAGCAGCAATTACTGTCTCATGATATCAGCCCTTACCTTATCGAATTTTTTTCTATTACGAGGTGTTCCTTTTCGTTAAGAATTGTTATCCACCCGATTTTTCCGCAGAAAATTGATGGGTTATAACATTACATCTCTCAATGCAGAACGAATTCAGTGGTAATAGTGAAGCCAAGCAACGATGTTCTTAGACCAGGTGAATGGCCTGATCGGGTAGTATGAAGGAGGGGCGAAGTGCTCAAACAACTGCGCTATGCTTGTTCTATGACTACGATAATTCAAAAAACAAGTACCTAAGCACATTGGGAATGATGTACAATCCTAATCGGTCTTTCAAAGTTTTGACATTCCACTCTTCCAAAGGTTTCAAACCCAGCTCTTCCAATTCACTAGCCGTGATGTTCTTCGAATTCAGCAACTGACGATTAACGATTCCAAATTCACTACTGCTAGAAGGATCTGAAAAAATAATATATTTTTCTTCGAATTCACAAAATTACATATGACTAACAACATTAACTTTATTCGGCTTACCGAGAACACCGCTTAGATCCGGTGGCGGGGCCCGTCTTTTGTACAATTTGAAAACCCTTTTAAATAATGTCGATCGAAGATCGCCATCGCTACCATAGTGATCACTTCCTCCAGACTGAAAGTGAATGCTTCATTTTGTTGATTCCTTTGACTTGTCTATCACTGTCATCATGACTTGGACGCTAATGAAGGTGATTAACTGGTAATTGTATACATCCACCGGAAAAGAAGTAACATGGAAGGGATATGAAAAAATTCACCTCCCCAGAATTCCGCCTGTCCCCACTAGATGCGCCCGCGTTATTTCTGACCTTTTGCGATTCGTTCATCATGTTTCGCTTTGTATTTACGTAACAGTTCAATCTTGCCTCTATTAAGGGTATCCTCGTAATCCTGAAAAAAAATGTTAACAGAAATTCGCAAACACCTACGATGAGCGTAAGGCGTTTTTTTTAAGTCTATAATTTTGTTAAAAAAATCAGAAGAATGGAAGAAGAAGTGAATAGAGGCCGCCAAAAGAGAGGTTTCAAAATTTCAGAGCGGGCGGAGCGTGAGTCGAAATGGGCGGAGTTAAGACCAAACATCCAAAACTCTGTTCAAAAATGCCCTAGAGTCAAGAAAAAGTGACTAGAGGCTGTTGGGGAAAGAGTTGTTCATTTTCATTGTGATCATTGGGCTATGATCACGAATTCATTACTCTTCCACACGATTCTTTGTTGTAGGGCATGCAATTTCGCGCGGAGCCCCACTGCTACGTGCATACGTCACTGCACTTCAAGTAAACTCTACAAGCAGCGGACTCAAAAGCTACCACGAATTTCGTGTTCTTTTTCCGGATTATGCGCCTTTTTTTATTTATGCCCTACAACTATGTATTGCTTGAAAATAGTATTGACTACAATTTCAATCACTTTCAATCCAAAATCATCTGTTTGAAAAGCATACCTGCATAGGCTTCCAGTAGTACGAAACCACATTAGCTCCTACGATTACCCCTACAACAGCTACGGCAGTCTTTTTTACGGCCACTTCTATAGGAACACGATACGGCCACCAACGAGGGGTTCCAGACATTGAACAGCAAAGTTCGTGGCGCCGATATTCCTATAACAAATGCATTTGTGCAACACGGATAGAATGACAGTATTTCTTGTAAGAAGCAGCATTTGCGCTCAGAATTGTCAAGTAGAAAACTCATGGGAAAGTTTGAACGAATTCCTCGATAATCAAAGGGCAAAGGAAAAGGTGACCAAAAGAAAAACGAAGAAGTGTAAAAGAGCCTCTTCCGAGTTTTCGGTCGCCAGAAGCTACAAAACTTGAAAGAAGAGCTCATTCACGAAGATGAGAGGAATTGTCTACGTCTATACAAGGACAATTCATCGGGAGAATGAAAAATCACCTCGGTCCTTGGTCCTTTAACGGCCGCAAAGATCTATCACGCAATTCTAAAAAATCTAAAACTTTTACAATGACAAGATATGACAATGCAGAATCAGAATAATACTGTAATAAAGATTTGCTGGTCATCTACAGCTTATTCCAGCACCAAACAAGCTGGATAATTCTTCAAACTTTATTAGACAGTAATACTTCTAATGAACTTCAACACGTTCAAAAACACACGGGGAAGACAAATCCAAATCTACGAAGAACCGTATAAAATAATTTATGTAAATATGCAAAAAATACACATACATGCATAAAAACAAGTAAAGCTGGGTAAAGATCTCACTATTGTTATACAGAATTAGAATAAGGTAAGGGCAACGCGTAATGGAATAACTGTTCATGGTTAGAATAAGAAATTGAAGGAAGAAGAGAATAAAAGAACCCTGATGGTCAATACAAAAGAGTTTGCCTTGATTTCGGGATAATGAAGCTATCGTGAAAAATCAGCGAGGTTGGTATGAGGTCGAAGTTCAATACGTAGCGAAGGGTCCTTGAAGGGTTAGACGGGTTGCGAGGCAAGCTTCGATGCCCATAAAAGCACGAAGCTGGCTCTAGACGGAACCTTCGACCTACCAGTCGCACTCGGTCAGTAATCGGCTAGAAATTTTTTAATCTTACCCCTAGTTCTAATTCAGTGAGCTCCATTTCGGATGTATAAGAAGCCCGTGGTCTTAGTAACCGGTCTAATTTACCTGCAACTTCATACTTCGTGTCCCGCTTTTATTTCACCGTTTACCCATAGCTGAAAAGAACCACTGGGGCCACTAGATTACTGCTCACGCAAACAGGGAGACCTTAGGAAGCTGAAAAACTACTGTTTAGTACTAATAAGTGCTATACAGCAATGAGTGTTAATGACCGCAATACCGCTGGCATCAAGCAGAATTTGAGTAAAGCCTTATAGCATGCAGAAGGGAATGAGAGATCCATATTTTGATGCAAACTATAAACACCCATGACGTTTTTGACAGTCTACCTACACAGGTAATGGGCGGAAAATTTAGGAGTCCTCAAAAAGTAACTTGATTTCTGGTAAATCGTCGAATATTCTTGAGCTTCGAATATGTTATGTTCTAGAGTACAGCGACAATACTATCGAGTTGAAGATCGATGTAAGTGCCACATACTGGTGATTCTTCAAGATTTCTGCTGCATCAAGTCGTCGTGAGTGAACACTTGGCCTTGAGCCAGGACGGTTTTGTCAATGACTGCACGGCTCACTTCTTTCTCCTCCTCCTTCGCTTCTTTCTTTTTCTTTCCTTTCGTCTGAACAGTAGCAAAAATGTAACCTACACCAAATAGCCACGCTTTCTTTTGTATCTATGTACCCCTAGTCAAAAACGTCCCTACTTCATAAATCAGATGACTGGCACAAAAATCGTATTGTAGGAGAAAGTCAGTGACTGTGCGCGGAATGATTCACATTTGTTAGTATAAACGTTTAAAAAAACATGATGATTCCTGCTGTGAAGGGAAAGTGTGGAGCCCTTCATCTGCAAACGTTTGACATTATGATCGTAGAAAAACGCCCTACGCTGAGCAAGGATTTCCCATGTACTTGATTGCTACTTGATTGCTTAGTTCCTAGGTGGGTATACGGGAATTGGGCAAGTTTCTCAGTCCTACCTAATTTCTACAAACGGTCTAATTATTTGCAGTTCTAAGATGCAGAACGATCACCACCGTAGCAGTGACTGGGCAGTTGCCTACATCGCTCCATTTCCATCCATTATGCAGCAAAGGCCTGCACCAGGCTGGTGTATGTCTGTGGTAACATTACGAAAAAAATTTCACAGAACACACTAGGTTTATCGACATGCATTTGGGTGTGCTGAACTATTTCACGGAGAAGAAACTGTTTCTTCTAGAAAGAGACTCAGTACCACCCGTGGCTACATCCAACACAATCGGACGAAAGCCGCAAAAGTCTGAAACTGGTTGTCCAACATCGACCGGGCAAGGGAGGGCACCTATACCTCTACCCAACCCCCAACACATGACATCCTTGGCTCGCTTTTTTGCGGAAGACAACAGGGACCTATAAATTTGCTCAAACAAATGTTAATATCCCTTGCTCGAGAATTTAATGGAAAACAAAGTAATCGGAGTGCTGCACAGATTTAATTGCATTGGTTTGTACTCCATATCATAAATCTTCAGTTTTTGGCATAATTTCTGTTAAGCTTTTTCCTATTCTCGATCCAAAGTAATACAACCAACTTTTTCCTTTACAGCTCCAAACTTGGTTCGAACGTAATGAAGGCGAAGTATCCCACGGATCAACTTTCGCCAATTTCCAAGCACTCGTTCCTCTCGTCGCTGAAAAACTGTGCAGTTCGAAGGGGTGTAGATGAATTTCGGCAAGTGACACCAGCCCTGCCCAAATGGGTAAAAAGCCGTGCTTTCTTTTCGAAAAAAAGGTATCAGTTCTCGTATCGGCAAACACCCAAAAGGTTTTGTTTAGGGAAAGTACTCATGGGGAAGCCATCGCGATCGTGAATGGATGCGAGAAAGGTGGCGCATGCAAAAACATTGTGAGGGAGACTAAAGTTCTTATAATTCCAGCTTTCCTAGACACTGATGATCTGTGACCAGCACATTCCAACGTAGTCCTAGCAAAATAAAGAATTCTAGACCATCATCATGCAAAATTTGCAATGGCTCTTGAGGAATCTTTCATAACTTCTTTCTCACCTTATTTTCACGCTCTTCTCTTGTTGCTTCAAGTCTTTCCCACTCCTTTACGAACTTGTTGGCATCTTCTTTCAGAACAACAGCACCGTCTATCCTGTAACAGGACATAGTGAATCTCCTCATATCCTAAATAGTGAGTCTATTTCAAAAGCTTACACTGGAAACGATCCGCCGGAACTGAAATCAAATCCAACGACAGCTGGAACGCATGGCAGTCCTCCCAAACGGCGAGCGATAGATGGCAATCCAGAGAGACGTAAATGAACTGCCCCAATGGGACACATAGACGGTTGAAACATGTACACGTTGCCGAATTCATTGCAAGGTATTTGACCCTAAAACCACACAAATGATACCAACACTCCGAAAGCGAGCTTGTTATTTGGAAAGGATAAAAAAAAGTCTTTTGACGTTAATCAATCCCGTCTGAGGGATGCGCCCCCGCACTCGA